AAGTTTAAATACCCCATAGTCCTTGAGGGTACCATCATATACAGTTCAAGTATGAAGAAATGCCTGGGGATTATAAACACCAAATTCAGGAACTGGTTACCTCTGGAGACATAAAAAGAAAGGGGCTCATGGAATGAACTGTGGGACTGTATTATATCGGTGAAGTTTCATTTCTTAAATCAGGCAGTGAGGACACAGGTCTTCGTTGAATTATTCTCTATACCTAATTCCATTATGCTTTTTAAAAGAAAATTAGATATAAGCTCTTAGCATATACTCAAGGTCCCCAGGTGGTGCAAATGGTTTGCACTCCACTGCTAACTAAAGATTGGCAGTTCAGACCCATCCAGTATTGCCATGGAAAAAAGGCCTGGTGATCTGCTTCTGTCAACATTTAAAAAAAAAAACACCTCACTGCCGACGAGTCGATCCCGACTCATAGCGACCCCTCCTTGGGTTTCTGAGGCAGTATCTCTACAGGAGATTGCCCAACCTTCCTTCTGAGAAGTGGCTATTGGGTTTGAACCACCAGCCTTCTGGTTAGCAGTCAAATGCCTTAGGCACTACGCCACCAGAGCGCCTACAGTCAAGCAAACCCGATAGAACAGATCTACTCAGTAGCACATGGGGTCCCCATGAGTCCAAATCAACTCTACAGCAACAACAAACACATATGTACACCTCATATAGGTTGTAAATGAGGGGAAAAACACTGGTCGTTGTGTTGTCTTTGACTCATGCAACCCATGTGTGACGGAGGAAAACAGTGCTCCACAGCATTCTCAATAGCTGATTTTTTGGGGGGAGTAGATCACCAAGCCTTTCTTCTGAAGCTGCTCTAAGGTGGACTTGAATGCATTAATCGTTTGCACCACTCAGAAAACAACAAAGCCCATTCTCTTTCCATTATTCCAGTATGCCTCTTGTGCTCAGGGAGTTATTTTTGTTGTTGTTTTTTCCTGCTACAGATGAAAACTGCAAGGACAAGTACTACAACTGCAACGTGGTGGTCCAAGCGCGACTCTGTGTCTACAACTACTACAAGACTGCCTGCTGTGCCTCTTGCACTCGAGTGGCCAACAGGCACCCAGGGTACCTGGGGAGCAGATAACATCCCCTGCACCATAAACAGCAGGGCAGCGCCACTTGCCTTTCTTGGGGCTGTAAGCAGTATGACTGGTCTCCGCTCCACCAGGCGTTGCCTGGCCCGGGGCACCCCAAGCCTAACTACTCACCACCCCTACCTTCAGTAAAGTATGACCCATGGCTCATAGGAGCTTTGTACACAGGATGTTCAGAAGCCATCGTCGGCCCTGCAGCATCACCCTATACTGATGATCTTCTTCCTGGGATTTAGTGCCTGCTGAAGGTGCTCTTGGAAAACCAAGCAGTGGGAAGTGTGTGTAGCTCCCAGCCACACTTCCATCCGGGCACCTCCTGAGTCAGCAGTTGGACCACTGACTGGGCGCTGCCTCTACCATAGTGCTACTAGCCTTCTCATGGTGTTACTATCACCCCCTGGAGGGTCGGTAGAGGCAGTGTCCAGACCTCAAAGCCCCACTAAGCCTTACTGAGATGCCTTCAGTCCTCTGTTACCTCAGCCCAGCTGTGCCTAGTTCCATTCTCAAAGACATTAGACTGGTTTCCTGCCTTCTGACATGAATATCTCACATTAATATAGTGTTTCATTGTTCAGTAGGTCTATTTACAGATATTAGCTCATTAGCAACTCATGGAGCCCAGAGTGGGAGGCAGGGAATCCATCACTGTTCACATTTCACTGGCAAGGAAACAGAGGCTCAACTTAGGTCATTGATCTGCCAGGTATAGTCACCTGCTAGATGTGTTCAGTGACAGAGCTGCGCACCTACCTACATCATCTGACCACAAAGCCCAGAGGCTACAAAGCTCACCTCATGGCTCCACAGTAGCCAATAGGGGCCTCCCCAGAAGCTTGGTGTGCTGGGCACAGAAGCTGGAATGAAGAGGTGAGACATTTCCCACTCTGCCAGCAAAGCCCAAGCCTTTGATTCTGTCCTCTGGCCGGTGGTCCAATCTCTACCCCTAGCATCCAGCTGCCTGTTTCTGTTTTTTCCTTCTCCTCAAAAAGGTACAGAGCCAAGTTACAGGACCCTCTGCAGGTTTCGTTAAACCCCATCCTAAACAGTAGTGTCCTGTGAGACAAGAAAGCCATTGGGGTAACAAGGTGATTGCCTGGAATTCTGAATCCATCCCCAAGCGATATTTTCCTCCCATGGACTTATACATACAGCAGGGTCCCTGCAGCCAAGGAGCCATCGTGTCCCAGAGCAGATTTCCAGGACACCCAGTTCTGCACTCTGGCTCTCACCCCCTACTCCAGCCATCTCTCCCGGGTATCCCCAGTGGGGAGCCCAAGTCATCCACTCAGCAAAACTTTTATGTTTATGTTAGAAAGGTTCTCCCTTTGGCCTTTTTAATTTGATTGATGGTACCTCTCCTTGGTTTGTATGCCTTCTCTCCCCCATAACTCACAGCCCATGTGTCTGTCCCCCTCCCAGAATTGAGCATTAGATCTGCACTAACACAGCGGCCTAAGAGAAGGAGCTGGGAACCCCCACTCATGGCCTTATGGTACAGACTTCCCTGATTCACTTCACCCAGCTGTATAGTTCCAGAGGTCTCAGGACAGAAGGAGGAGAGATCTAGTACATACTGAAAGGTGAACCATCTGAAAAATCAATGAAAAGGACTATTTGTGTGTGTGTGTGTACACACATGTATACATGTATGTGTATGCATGTATATATATGTACATACATATATATATGTATATTAAGAATTGAAGCACTTACTGATGAAGATCAAAGACCAGAGCCTTCAGTATGGATTATACCTCAACATAAAGAAAACAAAAATCCTTACAACTGGACCAATAAGCAACGTCATGATAAACAGAAAAAAATGAAGTTGTCAAGGATTTCATTTTACTTAGATCCACAATCAATGCCCATGGAAGCAGCAGTCAAGAAATCAAACAATGTATTTCATTGGGCAAATCTGCTGCAAATGACCTCTTTAAAGTGTTAAAGAACAAAGATGTCACTTTAAGGACTAAGGTGCACATGACCCAAGCCCTGGAATTTTCAGTTTCCTTGTATGCATGCAAAAGCTGAATAATGAATAAGGAAGACCGAAGAAGAATTGATGTCTTGAATTATGATGTTAGCACAGAAGCCTGACCATGTGGAAGAAGTATAGCCAGTATGCTGCTTAGAAGCGAGGATGGTGAAAGTGATGTTACACCGTGAGGATTGCAATCAGTGACATGAAACAAAATGTATATGAATTGTTGAGTGGAAAACTGATTTGCTCTGTAAACCTTCACCCAAATCACAATTAAAAAAAAAAAAAAAATTAAAGAAAAAAGAAGAAGCAAGGATGGCAAGATTTTTATCTCATGAACATATTATCAGGAGGGACCAGTCCCTGGAGAAGGACATCATGCTTGGTCAGTGAAAAAGAGGAAGACCTTCAACAACATGGACTGACACAGTGGCTGCAAAAATAGACTCAAATACAGCAACAGTATGAGGATGGCACAGGACTGGGCAGTGTTTTTTGTTCTGTTGTACATAGGGTCAGTATGAGTCAGAACTGATTTGACAGCATCTAACTACAACATACGAGCTCTGGTGGCGTAGTGCCTAACCAGAAGGCTGGCTGTTCAAACCCACCAGCCACTCCTCAGAAGGAAGGTTGGGCAATCTACTTCCATAGTGATATTGTTGTTGTTATGTGCTGTCGAGTCAGACCTGACTCATAGCGACCCCTCCTTGGGTTTCCAAGGCAGTATCATTATGGAAGTCGATTGCCCAACCTGGGAAACCAAGCAGGGAATCTGACTTCATGGCAGTGAGTTTGGTTTTTGGATTTTATTTTTTTTTTTTGGAACTACAATATATACATACATACGTGTGTGTGTGTGTGTGTGTATTCTTTCATCCATTAAGAAAACTACCAGACTACACAAATTATAAATTTACAGAAAATTTGTTATTTACCACCATGACCCTGGCATTTATCCATTTTAAAGGAAGTCTTGTTGCTCATTGGCACCGAGTCTGCCTCCGACTCCTAGCAACCCCAGGCACCGTGGACAAAACGCTGCCCAGTCCTGCACCGTTCCATGATCAATTGCAGATCAGACTGTTGCACTCACAGAGTTTTTACTGGCTTATTTCCAGAAGTAGGTCACCAGACCTTTGTTCCTAGTCTGGGAGCTCAAACAGAAACCTGTTTAGCGTCGGAACAACACGCAAGCCCCCGGTGACAGAGGGGTGATGACTGCACATGGGGTTTATTGGTCAGGAATTAAACCAGCATCTCCTGCTTGGAAGACAAGAATTCTACCGCGGAACCACCACTGCCTACGTTCTTAGCGGCTGAGTCTCTTCCATGAGCCATTACCCTGGAAATCTGTTAATGTGATGAACAGTTGTAGCTTTTGGAAGCAGTACCACTGTCCAGGTGTCCACACTCAGTCAGGTTCCCACCAATCTTGGGCCTTCTGTTTTGCCTTCCTGTGGGTGTCCCTCCAGCTTCTCTTCCTCAAGAGCCCCAGCCACCATTTCCCAAAAGCACCCCCATCTCTACCAATCCTCGTGTAACCTTGTGCAGATCAACAGCTGGCCAAGGCCCAGGTCCCCATGCAGACCAGGCAGAAAGAGACACACAAAGTCAAATCCACTGCCTATTCTCTGCCCAGCTGCTTGCCTTTGCTGTTTATGACGGGGATTTTTCCTTTATGCAGCCGCTCTCAGATGTTGCTGAACAAACCAGTCATTTGAAGAGTTACCTGGAAGACATTTTCTGTAACATGCCAGGGGGCAGGGCAGGATCAATGGGTGGAAGTAACAGAGAGGCCAGTTTAGTTCAAGTCAACGGAAAGCACTGTGCTATCAGAGATGCCCAAGAGAGTTAGGGGCTACCATGCAAGAACAAGCTCTCCAACCTTAAAGGGATTCACTACCAAGTGGGGGTGAACATCCTGAGGCCCTTCAACTCAGGAATTCTCAAGGCTGGCCTGTCTCTTCTCCTTTTAACAGTGTTCTGTGGCTCCCAAACATTACCCAGCATTTCTTTAAATGGACATTGGCCTTCCCCATGAGAAAGGCCACCTTGCTGATTCTGGAAGTCTGTAGGATCTCATCTGGATCAAACCCATGTCTTTGGGGAGGGAAGAGGGGAGAAAGTACCTAGACTAAGGGTCTTTGCTTTTCTTCTAACAAACAGTTAAGCTATTCTTGGAGTCCTTTAGTTAGTCCCTGAAAAGGTTCTTAATTACCACAAGAGGGGTTTAATCACTTTTTTGTCTCATAAATCCAATTTCCTAATTTCTTATTTCAGCATCGAAATGCCTTCTCCTTAAGACAACATACACAGTCAGGTCCTTTGGTATTCCCACTCTTCACTTTCCTGGGAGGAATTCTAAGAACAGCTCACCTTTATGACTTTCCCTCCAGATGTGTCCCACTCTCCCTTTCTTCTTGTTGTTGGGTGCCGTCAAGTCATTTTGACTCAGAGTAGAACTGCTCCACAGAGTTTTGGGTTTTTCTTAACTTTCTATTGTGATTTGGGTGGAAGTTTACCAAGCAAATTGGTTTTCCATTCATCCCGTAGGGTTTTCTCAGCTGTAATCTTTACAAAAGCAGATCACTGGTGTTTCTCCCACTGAACCACTAGGTGGGTTTGAACTGCCAACCTTTACATTAGCAGCCAAGTGTTTAACCTTTTGCACCACCAGGGCCCTGTCTCTCTTTCTTAGAGCCCCATTATTTCACCGCTCTCAGATCCATTATCTGCCTTCTCTTCTGAGTCCTCGTCATGTTCCCTTAACCGTCCATAACATGGAATTGAAAAATAACATTCCACCAGTGAGTTTGTTTGTTCGTTTGTTTGTTTTGCCTGTGTACTGGATCGTATCATTCCCTGCTCTGAATTTTAAAATTAGATGAATTAAAGTTTTCATATGTTTTTCTCACAAAAACCATCAAAGCTCCAAACAAAAATAGTTTGCTTTTTTCGTCCTTTCATTTATTGGAAAACAAAATTGTGTGCCTTTTAGCCTAG